AAGAGACCGCCTAGCCGTGGCCGTTGTAATCATTATTATCATTACGAAGGTCACTGCTTGCTGTGGGCCGAAGCCTGAGCGGCCGGTGTGTCAGCCCACAAGCAAGGTGTGTAGTTCTTGGGCTGCGCTGTCTGATTTATGATCGCCTAGGTTTAACCCCAAGACTGACAGCCGAACGAGGTGCCTCACTCGTCGTAAACATATTTTCTATATTCTCACTGGGTGGTCCACGTCATAGCCAGCCTGGAGTCTTGGCCAGAAAAAGTAACCCAGGAAAGTAAGCGACGAATAAAACACCAAACACAACCATAGGTGGCTTCAATTTCAAATGGCAATAAAGATTAGACCTATGCGACAATAGATATACTGGCAGTAATAAGAGACAGGTTGAATGATAAATGTTACTAATGAAATAATTCAAGATAATAACGCATTTGTACTGGAACCTGTCCTTCCCTTGTTAGAAACAGAGAGGCCAGTTGGCAAATAGAGGCCGTCTTTGCGCTCTGCGGGCAAAAGCTGAATTAGCCGGGGAGGTTGGCGTCACCACTGAGCGGACAGCGTCCGGTAAGACCTCGCGTAGATATCTATAAGTTCCACATCGTGACAGGGAGTGGTGTATATATATAAGTTACGAGCCGGTGAGATAAACGAAGATAAAGGAACGAGTGTATGTAGTGCAAAAACACAACAGTAAACCCATATGGTCTCTTTGAGCGCTTTCAAAGTGGCAAGGTGCTTTTTAAACATTGATAAATAATAAATTATGTAAGTCTGGAATTACTTGAAACTGAAGAAAGAGTGTTATCAGCAATCGGTCTCTTGTCCACTATCCAGCCATCAAAAAATGACCGGCCCCGCTGATCTTGTCTAGTTTAGGAACCACCTTTGTTGGTTACCTTCTCTTAATAGTTTTACACCTTCAGTCGAATTCTTCTTTTGCTTCAGTTCTCTGTGTTTGTTGCGCAGCTTTAGTAAAATAATATCATTCGTGACCTCGGGCTTGTTTGCAGATTGGTGTTGCCTGGGATGTCGTTGGCTGTTTCTGTCACAGCAGTGTCATAGCTGTTGATCAAAGCGCCTATTTCGGTACTCTGATTGTCATGAACGTGGAGAGGGGCAAACATCCCTCACATCGTTCTTTGAAATATTTATGCGATGCTGGAGTCCTTGGGTCTCTCAAGATTGTTCCTGATTTTCACATTGCCCTGGTTTTTCACCCTTTAGAGACGGGCCTTCAGAGGTCACCATTTCAAGCTCGTGATCATTTTCGATATCGGCTCCTGAAAAGCGCTGGGAAATCATAAAACGGGTAGGCAGAAACTTAAGAAGGAGTAAACAAAAAACAAAAAAACGAAGTACGACGGAGGCCCTCAGATTTTCTTTCAAGAAATGAAAACGGCACGTTTGGGAAACAAACTACTTGTCTTTTTAGTAGAGAAGTTTATTTTATTCCTATTTGTATGAAACAGCTCAATGAAGAAGTTTGTTTTGTGAGTGATGGCCTTGGTCAATTATGAGAGAATTTAGAACAAAACCAGGCTAAAGTATAAAACAATCGGCTACGGCGCGTGGCATGATTTGTAGTACATGTACTGCACATTAGGGATCAAATACATGTACATGTACCTGTGGGGAGCTTTCCATTTTCGGCACTCCAGTTTCAAAATAGTACATATTCGGCACTAGTGATTTTCGATGATTTTCTTCCTAAGACATTTGCGGTACCACTTGTTTTATTCAAAATGTTGATAGAACATTTGCGGCACTGCGATATGAGTTTCAATATTCGCCTGCTCGTCAAAACATGCAACACAATTGAGACTAAAATCTCTCATATACATGGTATGTACCTGTACACAATAGCATACACACTACAAACACACTACTTAACTAAACCGCATGCACAGAGAAAGAGAGAGAGAGAGAGAGAGAGAGAGAGAGAGAGAGAGAGAGAGAGAGAGAGAGAGAGAGAGAGACAAAGAGAGAGAGAGAGAGAAAAGGGGCGGAGTGTGTATGTGAGAGAGAGAGAGGGGGTTTGTTGTGAGTTTACACTGTGCTGTGTACTGAGATTTCACATAGTCTCACCTGGGTGATTCGCATGAGTAGTGCCGCAGATGGTACATTTTTCCCCTATTGTTTAAATGTAGTGCCGCAAATGGGATATCGGTCTTTTTTTGGGGGTCTTTTTTTTGGTTTTTATTTTGTTGCTTTGGTGTGCAAGAGTCAAGTGGACAACCAATAACTACACCCCCCCCCCCCACCCACCCACCCCAAAACCGAGTTTCCCCCCAAACTTGACATGACAACGACGTCCGCCGGCGATAGACCTGCCTCTCTCATCTTGCCTTTGTTTACGTAATTTTTATCCTTGAACTACAACCCCTTAGCACGACATCCCAGGGGAAAAGACCGTTTATTACGAATTTTAAGGCCAGATTGCTATTATTTATTTGTTGATTACTTGAATATCTGCTGATAGGTGGGCGGCCCTGGACTAAAATTGAACCTTACAGAGTCATAAAGTACCACCATGTCCCATTCAGTTTTTGCTGCTTGCTGCTTGCTGCTTGCTGCTTGCTGCTTACACCGACGTTTACAGCAGTGCCATTCTCCCTTCTATCAAACTCCTGATATTAAAATTTGCGTTATGGCTTCAAAGAAAAAAAGCAGTATTTCTTAAAGACATTATAACTTATTCTAAAAACTGCCGAATCAAAGCCGACCATAGCACGGCAACTAAGCATTGCGAAAACAACAATCAGCACTTTTTGGGGGGGCTAAAATATTCAGTCTTGAGTCCGAGGATTTCACCAGAGAGTTTACAGTAACCCTCTCTGGTTTCACTGTGCATAGAACACACAGAGCGTATCTCTCTATCTCGCAGCGGGCACTTTTCCTTAACAACAGACGATAGTGTTTGTGCTGAATTCGCATGGAAAGGGGTGGGGGGGGGGGGGGGGGGAGATAACTCGGCAATCACGAATCATATTCTTTTCTCCACTAGTTCATATCGAAATAAGTCATATTTCCCCGTTCGTAATGCTGTATTCCTCGCAGCCCGGGCTGACCTGAATAGGTCAAATGGCCCACAGTTTGATCTATATTTTCTTCATCTATGTCGATGGGAGTGAAAAGCATTTAGAATAAACTCTGTCATCGCGCCGTTGTTACTTTAGAAATGAACAAATTAATAAAAGTGTGCCTCATTCTTCTCCTGCGTGTCACGTTCAACACTAATACATGCAATTATTCAAGAGCCAAAAGACATGTGAATTTACGAGTAAAATTTTTATCATTTCAAAAGCTAATTTATTTAAGCTTTACAATAAGCGCCCATTTCGTGAGTACTCAAGTGCTCTAGTACCCACCGACAGAGAAGAGAAAGTCAATTTCAGCCCTGCCCCTCACCTCACTCTCAAAATAAGTTACAATTAGAGTCTTTTGAGCGTGGCATCAGGGCGACCCCCGGTAGGTGGCTCACAGCGAGTGGAGACCCCGGTTGTGCCAACTAGGTCAAAAAAGTTCGGAGCGGAGGGCCAATGTTTACATTTTTCAAAACATTTACATAGTACTTTAAATGTTTTAACTTTAGTCCCAGATCGTGTCGATAGCTATGTCTCGGGAGTTGGAGAAAAGAGTTCCAAACTGATGGAGCAAGGTGTGCAAAGGATCTTTCAGTTCTTTAAAAAAAAAACTCTTTCCCGATAAATCTCAAAAGATAACGATAGCCTGATCTCAGGGTTCTAAGATGAATCGCTAAGATATAGGCATAGATGTACACTATGGATATAGGAGGGAGCTTCTTGATTGGCGCATTCATGGTGTCATGCTGCAATTATATACGGCGATATTCTGGCTGACACAAGGACATTTTTTTGGGCCTAAGCACTAAGTACTTGGGGGCGGGGGGTACTTTTTATTTTGTTATTCTTATTTTTCCCCGTGATTTTCAGTACAAATAGGATCTACGTCAAAGGCCAAAGGCAAAGTCTATCACGTAAGAAACCTATAGAGAACACTAACACACCTATACATTAACAATTGACGTGTTTAATTATAAGCCAAGTCACATTGTTCTTGTCGTCTCTTTATTAGTTTTTCAAGAGTCAGTGACAAATATGAAAAGCTACAAATACTGCAAAATATTATCTCTCTGTGCTATCTCGAGGTATATCCCACCCAGTGGCGTCTTGTTGGGTGGGGCTTGCAGCTTTAGCCCCACCTGGTTTTCTTCAACAACAAGTTACTTCTCTGACTAATCTCAGAACAAAATATTTCACAAAAATGTTTATACCGTGACAAAACATATCATGTTTTAAAGGACAAAACATAATAATAGTGTATTCCGTTTTTTGTTTTGCTTTTTAAAAAAACTTAAACGAAACTCCGAATGCACTTGTAGCTCCATCCAATAAGGCGCTTTTTCCGTCTGGGAGAATGAAATTTCATTGGTTTGTGATTCCTTAAGCCTCGCAGCTCAATTTCCCTCAGACTGATTACAACTGGGAAACAGACCTTTCATAACTGAAGGCCTAGACACTCCCCCCCCCCCCCCCCCCCAACAAAAACTGGTGGTTCTATCAGGCTCGGGGGCTGAAGCCGCACTATGGGGGTGTACCTTAAGTATGGCTTGACTCTTGACCTAGTTCGCACATCCTCGCAGCTCTAGACCAAAGCGTAGACTGAGTACGCCCCCCACCCTTCCCCTTCCCCTCGGCTAAGTGTCTTTTCTTTAGTAAGTAATGATGTTAGTGCGCTTAGATTGAGTGTGTAGGGCCTACACTTGAATGAAGTTTTAAGCGTGTTAACTCAGTAACTGCATACTGTATACACATTTTCTGTGCATGGAGATCAGCGAAAACAATGAAGCACTCGCCTTCGTTGTATTGTATCAGTGGCAGTTTTAAACTGGAATGTAACATTTGTTCTTCAATGCAGCAATGTATCGTGCAGAATACTTATTGGAAATTCGCTTTAATTCTTTATTACGAGAAATTAAGCTACTGTCAAGAGACTGAAACCACATCAAACCGCAGAATTTTCGCATCCCGTTGTGGCAGGAAAGCGAAAGAGATATTTTCATCATGAACGATTCATCATGAAGGATGCACTATTCAACCAAAAAGTCACCGGCGAAGTGCTCAGCATAAAATCAAAGGGCACAAATTATGTATAAAGACTCATAGGTGAGTCCATTTTCTTGGTTTCAAACGTGGTATTGCCACTACTTTAACAAGATTATTATACTTTTGAATCTATTTACATTTTCACTTTGTCTTTTTTATATATTAGTGTTTCACTGTCTTTTCAGTCACTATGCATCCCTTTTTTTTCTGAGCATTCTCATTGTTTGGTCACCTTCTTCACAACCTACTCGACGTCACTAATCTAGCATCTGCGTTGGTCGCGGCGGTCGCGATATTTGGCATGTCTTGGTCCGCGAATCGCGGCCGCGATTTTTGGCATTTAAAAAAAAAAAAGAAAAAGCAAAACAAAAACAAAAACAAAAAACAAAGCAAAAAAACAAATAAAACAAAAATAATAAAATAACACCGCCGGGGGAAAAATCGAAAAAAGGGTTATAAACATTTCAAAAAGTATTTAAAAATCGCACCTCTTTACTTTTAGAAAGAAAGTTTATTTTCACTCCTGCTTCATTTCGTCGCTGTCTCACTTGTTGACACCACGTTGATTTTTTAAAATTTCCATGTGAGAAATATTACTACATTACATCCTTTTAGATTTATATATTATTATATTGCTTTTTCTTTTATTTTTCCATCTTTGTTATGTTTTACTTTGTTGGTGTGATAATTTTTTTTCTTGTTATTGTTCTGGTGTGCTGTTTTTCTTTTTTTGTGTGTGCTTATATATGGCGTCAATATAATTTAATTTGATGTTGTTCCTGTCTTTTTAAATATACAAATGTGTGTATATATATATATATAATATAATTATATAAATGTGTTATGTTAGAGCGTGTCTCCACCAAAACCGAACACATGTACAGACACAGGCCCCTTATGTGTAATTCCATAATTTACTTGATGTAATATCCTGTACCTTTTCTTGAATTACGCGCATTTAGGGCTAAAAAGGCCAATCTTCGGATAGATGGAAGCACGCCCTTTTACTTGTTAATTTTTGTGGCTGTTTGTGTGCTTTTCTAATTTTTATGTCATTCTGTTGTGAAATGATATTCTGGATGCTTAAAAGTCAGCACAAGAAATTCTGGTGCTTTAGATTAAGTACCCCTATCAATATATTGCTATATTATAATACGTCGTCAAAGAGAGTTGAAAGCTCGAAAATTAATGGCAACTTTTTTTTTTTTTTGGGGGGGGGGGGTGGGGGGATGGCAACAAACGCAGATGCTAGACTAATCCAATCCCCAAGGAGAGTCTGACGGTACGTTTTTGTTTGTTTGTGTGTTTGTTTGCTTGTTTGTTTGTTAAATTTTAGTTTGTTTGTTTGTTAAATTTTAGTTTCTTAATAAATTATTTCTTGGGGTGGGTGGGAGGGTAAAACAGACGACTAAAACTAAAAGAAGAAAACCTAAATAGATATGGCCCACGGTTACTAAAATGAGCTGTTACATGTGCCCAAGTATTCTCTCAAGAGAATCTTTGATGTGCCTGCCATACGCAGGTTATCCGACTTACGAAAGACCCCCTGTCTCTGGTGCAAAATCAAAATATTTACTTATTTACATGTTCGTAGTCGCTATAAAAATCTGTCAGTCTGGCATGAATACACAGAAATAAGATCATAGAACACTAAGTGAACCTTGCTGTCAGCGGAACAATAAGTATATTAATGTACTGCTCAAGGCAAGGTCTGTGCCAAGGGAAGTAACCGCTCATATTAGCAAACTTTTTTTTTAGAACAAGGTTTCTTCCCGTCATAGTCGCATCAGAGAGTATTTAATTATATTTAAGAGTCTCTTGTAGCATCGTGCGACGAAGAACCATACGTATGCTACCGACGGCGGGTATTTATCTTTGTCGAAATAACAACAGACATCAACAAATAAAAACTGACTACATTAAAAACGAAGGAAAAGTAACTAAATCAGGACGTTTGTGTTGATATTTGTCGTTATTTTATTGTTATCCGTTGTTATCAGCTGTTATTTGTTGTTATCTCGACAAAAATAAATACCCCCCATCAGTATTTATCTTTGTCGAGATATGTTTGTTTGTTTTTGTAAGTGTTTTACTGCGCTCCCAACTGCATAAAGTCATATGAGCGCGCGGGACACGTTAAACTTTTTCAGTTGGTAGGAAATTTTGAATTTTGCCCAGGTGGCGGCCGAAGCCTACTCTTATGGATTTTAGACCACCAAGAGATCTTATTTAACGTGCGCAACTTGCACACTGGCCTTCCGAGGTTTTTCACCCTTGTCCGAGAAGGCTAGGTGTAGACCTTTCCTACCGGAAGATCAGGGGTGTGGCTGAAAGACAGCAGTAAGAAGAAGCCGAAGAGTAGCAGTAGAAAGGCTGTAGAAAGAATCAGGAGCCCAGAGGAGGGGGGGGGGGCAAAGGAGATGAGGGAGTGGGGGCAGAAAGAGGAGACGAAAGCAGACGACAGAACATTGCTAGAGAGCAAGAGAGGAGGTGAAAGGAGACAAATTTAGAGAAGAAAATGTTTCGGTCACTACCCGGATTCGAACCCGGGACCTTTGAATGAGAGGCCAACACCTTAACCTCTAGGCCACGAGAACCCCCTTTGTCGAGATAACAACAAATAACAACTGATAACAACAAATAACAACTGACTACCTTTAAAACGAAATAAAAGTAGCTAAATTAGGATATTTGTATCGTTATTTTATTGTTACCAGTTGTTATCAGTTGTTATTTGTTGTTATCTCGACAAAAATAAATGTATAACCCACCAATTTATTTGGAAAATAAACTAAATTAGGACGTTTGTGCTGATATTTGTTGCTATTTTGTTGTTGTCTGTTGTTATTTGTAGTTATCAGTTGTTATTTGTTGTTATCAGTTGTTATCTGTTGTTATCTCGACAAAGATGAATACCGCCGACGGTGGTCTAGGCTACCAATTTGTGAACAAAGATTTAGATATGCATGAACATATTATGTAAATCTTTATATTGTTACGGATTTGGATGCTTTATAAAATAATGCTGTAAATTGTATCATCATCTTTCATTAAAAAGATAGGCCTGCATGTCCACACAACAGAGATGAAAGAACTTGCATGTATATATAATATAATATAATATAATATAATATAATATAATATAATATAATATAATATAATATGATATAATATATATATATATATATATATATATATATATATATATATATATATATATATATACATTGTAGAGGTTGCATGAGAGAGAAAGGTGAGACTGCATTCTTTAAATGTAGCACAGTGAATTTCCTATAAGTAATTTCAAAGATGTGTAGATCTATGCCTTTGAAATCAGTGTTTATATGATAAAAGCTTCTCAAGTGGAGCACTTTTCTCATTATCGTTGTTCTGCCTTCACTGTAGCCTGTATTATAAGTCACCAGTATATATGCCAGGTTTGAGAATAAAATTATATCTAGGCTTCTGTGTGATATTGCTACCAACAGCTTCAAGTAGTTTCTGTAGATTTTGATGATTGAATTTGTTTTCATGAGCCTATAGGCCTATTAAAGTTAGATTTCTTGACGCAACCATGCAATGAACTATAAATATTCCATCACAGATGTGTTAACTTTTTTCTTTCGAATTCTTTTTTCTTTTCTTTTTTTTTTTTTCCAATATTAATAAATGGTCTAGGTGCACAATGTATGAGTATAGATCTAACCTTTTTTATATATATTTTTTTTGGGTTGGTTTTGAATCTGTTTTCAGTGATTTCCATAGTCACCCCCTAATCCAGACGGTCTTGATCGCCTAGCTCCTAATACAAGTAGCCTAGTTTTAATCTATGGTGATTTCTCTAGTCTCAACAAACCAAATCCAAGATGTGCGCACTACATTTAAGACCAAACTTTGTAAGCCCACACTTACGTACTTTCTTTTTTTTGTGATACCAACTAGCAGTGCTTTAGGTTATTTGTTTTACTTACAAAACAGCTTATTGGTCCCGTCGAAAGGTTATAAACTACCATATTTTATCTTTAATTCAGACAAAGTACCCACAGTTTGTTCTTCATCACTTCTTCATTAAAAATTTCGATAAACGCACACAGCCAAACCGGCAAATAAGACAGGAACGCAACGGCCTCAACCTTGGCCTAGATAGGGCTTCTGGAGTTCATTGTTTACTTGTGTCAGGTCAAAGAATGCCATAGGGCCAAGGGCAAAGGTGAAATGAGATGCGAAGCGGCGCGGCGAGTCCGAGTGGTTGTTGGTGTGGTTGGTGGTTGGGCTGGGCCTTGTGTTGATACTGGGAAAGAAAGATTAGGCCTAGCCTAGATCTCTTATTCGCATTCTCTGGACTAGGCCTACGTTCGGTCAGTTTAGTGGTAGCGTACCGTAGTAGTAGGTTTGTCCTAGATAATTGCGTTCCGCGCGATCATTGTACATGTATTTTGTTAAGAGAAGGGAGTAACGCGAGGGAGTGGTATAACATGTGGTATTATCTAGATCTAGGGCCAGTTTGTCACTTTAGACTTAGAGTGTAGGCTAGGCCTACTTGTACAAGTGCTTTAGATCTAGATCTACATAGATCTATCTAGTCTAGATCTAGATTCTAAATCTAGAGTCTAGTAAGTAAGCTGCCAGAAAAACCCTAAATTTATCAAAACTTGGAGGCGCATCACTGAGTGAAATAGGCCTACCAGCATTTTTGTACAATCTCTTTGGATTGTGCCTGCTGTTTTAATGTTAGAAAAGTATCCGTTGAAAGGGGGAAAAAGTAAATCATGGCAATCACTGGTCAGATTTCTTCGTGTGGCTGGTCAATTTGAAAGTGGCAATACCTGAGCTGTACTGTGGATATCAGCTGGATCGGTATGTAAGTACGAAGTTGGCTCAATAATGTCATTTTAAAAAATCATAGGCCCAATCATCATTCATTCATTCATTCATTCATTCATTCATTCTTCGATCAACCTAATTGTACTGTAACAGTAGAGCTGAAATAAAAATAATATCAAAACCCTTTCAAAATTCACCTGTTACAAACTGAGACCAGAATGTATCTGCCTACTTTT